ATTTAAAAAAATAAATTAAAAAAAAAAAAAAAAAAACTGGAAAAGAGAATAAAACAGTTCTGATGAATGGATGGAAATTATCAATAGGCCTAATTGATAAATACTATTTTAGATACCTCAGAAATACAGAGTCAGAGTCTACACATATCTTTCTTTTAATAGTCTATGTTATTAGATGGTATCATTCAGTTCATATTGGCATTGATAGAACGACTTGCCCAGATATCGTCCCTTGACTACGGAAAGAAAGTATACGTATCATTTATTTATTTATTTTTATTTATAGGTTTATTTTAAGAAATAGGTACCTTCCACAGCTCGTCGGTTGTCTTTCTCTCTTGAATAGGCCTAAATGAAAAAGTTGGACGAATCTGCAGGGATTTTTTTTTTATAGGAAAACTTCTTTATAGGGCCTGATATGCCCTGTTCCCCCTGGGGAAATGTATTGATGCCCGGAAATTGTTTTCTTTTCCAGTATTTTACAACTAAAACAAGTTATCTAGTTCGATCTGACCTATCGAGAGAAGTTTTAAATTTACCGCCGACGCTCATAATTCTGTTTCTTTCCTCATGATCATATGTAATACAGTATATTATATAAACTGAAGATATATGTGATAACATAGAAAGCCTGTAAATGCTCACAAATAGTATAGGCATACACATATTTTTAATATAAGCAATATTAAATGTATGCGTGAGATTTTAGTACTTAAGCGTGAGAGACGTGAGACAGACCTCTGCGTGAGTTGGATACGGTTTAAACTTAATTTTCTAGACCCCTATTTATTTCGAGACTTTTTATTTTATTTGTTTTATTAGGTATGCAAGTTCTGAGTTGACAGGAAGAAATATTTTAGAAATTAAATATATTTTATATAAATATGTCCGATTTTTCTGAATAAATTTCACATCCAGGTCAAATTCGCCGAAACAAAATAAAATCAAAGATCAATTCTGGAACTTTCATTGAGGGCGCTTAAAGTGATCAGTCGCCCTCAACGAAATTCACGTTCGTTTGAGTCACAAAATGGCGATCCATTAGTATTCCAAGAAGAACTACTGAACAAATGTCGCAATTTTGTGATTCATTCTTTAACATATTTCGCTAGAATAACTCATACCATCGAATCATTGTTTTATATGCGAATTCCGTAGGTTTTCAGTTAACTGAAAGCTTTCATCTTCGAAATAATGAAATAATGAATCTGGACTCACTGTCGCTGGCCTTATCCCAGATCTCGTATTTGGTTGCAAACCTGAACAAAAAGAACTACAAATCCAGTGTTACAGAAGTCTCTTATGTAAGTATAGAATACGATTTAGCAATAACGAATATATCTAAATAACATTAAATTTTGTTGTAGAAATATAAATGTAAAGGTGTATTTGAACGACACGCAATTCAATACAATTATTTTGCAATTTCTCGATCAATTCACAGCTGTTTGATTTGTATAATAGCACTCACTGGGTCGCAGTGCCAGTGCTATGAAAGATGGGGGAAACCGAAAGATAGGCCCTAACTAAACCCATGTTGACCAATCCTATCAGTGAATGGAACCTTGGCTTGGCCTATAAGTATGTTGTATTTAAGTACAATTACCTTATTGTGAAGATTGCAATGCTAATGCTTAAATATTTGTATTTATTCGCAGTTGGTGCAGCAGCACGGTCTGGAAACTGACCGTCACCTGCTGCGCTGTCTCTTCTCCCACGTCGATTTCAGTTGCGGTGACAGCAAAGGCAGTGGTAAAGATTTTCAGGTCAGCAAAACTATGAATACAAATATACTTTATTGCATTTTCCAATATTGTGCAGTTGAAGTTGAACATATAAAATTGTTTCGATAATAAGGAAGATAAATTTAAGGCCTATCTGAAATTACACTAGTGAGTTAGAATGTAAAAGAAAAAAAAAAGACAACATTCAAGAAGAAAGCAACAAAAAATAAAAATTTAAAAAAGGACAACAATTAAGAAAGAAAGAAGAAAATATCAAAACATACAAAGATTCAAAAACAAGATTTAAAAAACAAGGGAAAAACATCAATAATGACAAATTATTAAATTCATTTAGTATAAAATAGTAAAACATCATTTTAATATTCGATGAAGAAATTAACAGACTGGGGGGGGGGAATTTATTTTACAACACAATACTTGAGAAATAAAAACAGTTAATTTCAATATATATTTTTAATTTAACAAAAGAAAAATTATATGAATTTGATTGTTTTCATTTTTATTAATCTATTAGAAAGTTTGTATTTTACCAGTTTGGTATTTTTGTTTATATCTGACGTAAAAAAAAAAAAATTGTATTAATCCTTTCTTTTAAAAGCGAGTAAAATTAATAAATGAATCTTTAAATTGACCTAATGTAACTTGGATTTGCATTTTTAGATAATGCTCTCAATTGAAATGTCGACAAGGACGCGAAGCCCCGCCCACAAAGTCACAAAAACCTTAAGACAACGGCGGCTAGACTTATCGAGTTGGCGAACATTTTCTTTGCTATCAACCTTCTTTAAGAAAGAGAATTTAGGGTAGGCGGTATGCAAATGAATCATATATTCATAGTGTTAATCTATTTCATGGAACAGGCGGGGAAATTGTTGTAAAAGCCTCTGTATTTCGCTCCCAAAGGAAGAGGGAAAAGCGGCATTCAGTCAACCTCGTTGTCGGCAAAGGCCAAGTCACTGATGCGCACTGCGCTCGTGTAAATCTGGGTATCTGTAACCAAGCATAGACATCTAGGCCTAGGCTTGCGTATGTTTCGCGTTGACAACCAGCTGTCTAAGGAAATTAAAATGTCCGAGAAAGTTTTTGATCACGTGACTAAATGACGCTCGCTGATTAGTCGGGTTATCTGTCAATCAAATCTCGTTGAGATGTTAATTATATATGCAATGTAATTCAAGTTTCCCTTCCCTTTTGCAGGCCCAGCTGTTGATACAAGAGTGCGCATCACTTGTGTCAAAGTCAAATTTCACAACATTACTTTGTTTTGCGGTGAGCAACCCTCTGCATTACCAAAAGACTCTGAGGCCAAGTCCTCAGCTTTTTTCTCAGATCAGTAAAACTCTCAAGCTATCTCGAGTGCAGGAGCTAGTGTTTGGCTTAGCTCTACGTCATTCTTCTGTTCCAGAAATACAAATTCTAGGTAAGTAATTAAAAAATTTTAATTAGTTTTTGGAAGAGCTAGAGCAACCTTCATTCAAGTTTTTAAAATGTTCCCTTATTTTTAACACCCCTGGATAATAGATAAAGTGTGTGGGGTTGTGGGAGTGTATTTGCTCAGCTTAATTCACAAGCACATAATATACTCTTGTTGCAATTTTGGTATTTTATAGGCATTTTTAGCAGTTTTATTGCTACCTGTTTAAACCATTAACCAGACTTGTATGTTTATTTAAACATACAGTAGGCCTACATGCAGATCTTTTTTTAAAATCGAAGAATTGTTTATATTTCAGCCACACAGTTTGTGAAGCTGAAGCTGCCAGATTTAATTCGCTCCTACGTGGACCCTGGTAAGATTTGTGTTCATGTGTATCGTTCAGTTTGTGTTCATGTGTATCGTTCAATTTGTGTTCATGTGTATCGTTCAGTTTGTGTTCATGTGTATCGTTCAATTTGTGTTCATGTGTATCGTTCAATTTGTGTTCATGTGTATCGTTCAATTTGTCCAAAATACAATTTTTACAATGTTCCCTTGGAGGTTAAAAAGGCGTCATGGAATGGAACTGGCCACCCTATTACTCAGTAGAGAGCTTCTGATTTGTGCGACGACGCAACGCTAGAATGGAACCACTCATGCGTGACCATCCTACCTGGCGTTCTACGTTCTATGCATACGTAGATTTGGCCAAGTTGCGTCCTACCTTCATCGTGCAATCGAAAGTTCCCTATTGCCAAGGCATAGTACAGTGGACTTTAAGCTCATTGCTCTAATTTTAGTAATGAAATACAGGACTACCTTTACTGTTGCTGCTACTGTTTTGATTTTGTCTGATATTTGTTTTCTTTTCTTTTTTATCATGTTCACAAGAATGAGGCTACCACCACGACCATGTAAATTTGCTGCAAAGGGTGAAATGAAGGCTAAATGTATCTGTTCTATTGTTTGTTTCAGATTTAAGCCAGGAAGTAGGAGGTTTGACCGATATTTCTATTGAGGTTCTGCACTCGTTGCTGTCATATCTACTACAGGTTGGCAGAGACAAAAGCGCTGCTGTTACAGGTGTATCACCACCACAGAGAGACACATTCCTTGCTACATTACGCAAAGGTAAAACTCGGGTCAATCACGTTTTATATTGATTTGTAAATGCACTCTAATTGCCTTTATTACTGCCATGGTATGACAATCTGACATTTTTTTTTAACAGAGTTCCCACGTGACCGTCTGCCGGTTATTTTAGCACCACTGTTGTACAGTAGTGACGAAGACATCACCATGGAAAGACTAATGTCAGATAACTTGAATGTACCCAAAGGCACTGTAAGTTTAACATTGCTTTTCTGTGATTACTAACATAAGCTCTTTTAAAATTATAATAATAATATAGTAATAAAATAATGATAGTATATTAATAAAATGATAATAATATATAAATAACTTTAGGCTGAACACTTTGAAGCCTAGGATACACCTATGTATTCTTCTTGTCAGGCCCGTAGGTTAACTCTTTGCATTTGGTCTCGCTGTCTTCAAGACACTTGTTACGTTGGTGCTGAAATGGTCAGCCCAATTTGCAATTGTGTCTCCACTCTATGTGTTACATTGGTGCTGAAATGGTCAGCCCAATTTGCAATTGTTTCTTCACACCATTTGCTACCTCTTGGTGCACATCATTGCCAATAAATAACGTACAATAGAATGTTGGTGAGGAAAGAGAAGAAAAACAATGAAGTTATCTTTAACAAATTTGTGATTTGCACATTTATGGACATGTTTTCACACCCCCATACATTGTGTACAGAACTTTCGATTAACACCAACATTTAAATGTTTACAGACTGATAGCCTTCTAGCGGACGCACTGCAAGAATTGGGCTACGGATGCTGCCAATCAATGGAAGAGTGTCGCAAGACGCTGATGCAGCTAGGTGTCCAGAACCTAACACCTTTGTCAATTGCAATGGTGCTTGGCATGATGGCTCGTACCCATACAGGGCTCAGTGATGATAGCATGAGTGTGCAGGTATGTACAGTGTATGTGTGAACTTTGTTAATCCTATAGCAAGAATGTTCAAATGTACCATGGTAAATTGATAGCAAGCTGTAAAGTCCTGTTCAGACATGCCTAAATATGGTAATGATGACATCACATCATGACCATATATGGACACATCATGACTGTATGTGGGCATACAACAGTTTTTTTCATATGAAATATGATAGTCTGGACCGAGTTTTCACAATACACTCACAGGCATGAGTGGAATTTCTTTTTCAGTCACTTGTCCCAGGATAACCACAAATATCTTTATTTATGTTAGGTCGCATAGTTGTAACTGTAATACTGCCTTCATGAGATCATTCAGTTGTTTACGTTGCTATAATTATTAAACATTGCGTGTGATTTTATATCAGTTGTTGACAGGCTCGAATACTTGGAGTGATGGTAAAGACAAGAGTGATCAATCCACCTCAACGACATGGAATGCTGAATTGTTCATTGAAGCGGTACGTGACCTGGCGCCACATATTAATTTCCGCGATGTGATCCTAGCGCTCGACCACCCAGGATTTATCTTGAAGGATGTGCAAGGCTTGCGCTTGCTGAAACAAGCGTTGCTACGTGGACTGCAGGACATGTTCCCGATTGAGGTGCTCTACCGTATCTGGAAGAACACCGAAGGACAGGTGAGATAATTGGAAAGCTATTTATTAATTTTTAACGAATATTGATTCTGCTGATTGTAAACTGCAACTATTAATCTTGTGTCGTTTAGGTTGCCAACAAAAACTTTATGGATAATTATTAAATAAAAAACATTTTATTAATTAATAAGGTTGAGAATAATAATTTTAACCTTATTAATTAATTAATAATAATAATAGTAAGGTTAAGAATAATAATTTTCTATCTATTTATTAGTTACTAATTAACCATTTAAAATAATAAATATAATAATAGTCAGAGTATGATAAACATAAACATTAAGTTCAGAGTTGATTATTCATATAAGTTTGACAATTGTTTTTTTAATTTATTCAAAATTTATCAAAATTAATGATAATAATATTATGAACTCACTATGAAAATATAATAGTTACTGTAAAATTATTATCATTATTATTGATCCTGCTAATTTTAAACTGAAACTAATAATCTTCTGTCAGTTGGATTGCCAACAAAAACTGTGTTTAATTATTATATAAAAAATACATAATTTATTAATTTGTAAGATTAAGCTTAATAATTTCCAAACAACATTTCAATTAAATACAAAGTTATTTGGTCTTTGTTACTCCAGTTGTCATTGTCACAAATTTAGTACTAATATACCATATATATATATATATATATATATGAAGTGCTTAGAATCCTTGATGGCATGAAGTACTATTATAAGTCTTAACATATTATACTTGTATGATGTTGGTGAAATTTTTTTTTTTTTCCTGCTAAGTGATATTTGGAAGCCTCAATGAAAAGGTTCATTGACATACATAACTCACCCCATACATTTTGGTTGGTAAAATGGAAACTGCAGCCCTCAAGCTTGAGAAGTGACCTTTTGAAATGTACAAGAATTTTAGGCTGCTGCTTCGTAAAAAAAAAAAAACCCACTGTACCTAGTTTTTGTGATTCATGATTGCATTATTTGTTTTTCCAGTTGTCATGGATACAACAGATTTTATCCAATCCGGACGTGTTCTGCTTTGCTGATTATCCATTCCATGGGGTTGTTGTGGAAATATTGAAGGCTCTTCCAGAGGAGGACAACCGAGAAATTGCTAATTGGTAAGTTAGGCGAAATAGATACATTTACCTTTGACCCATCTTCATTCTTTAAAATTATGCTAGTTAATTTAATTTCATTCGATTCTCAGGTGTTTTGTTTAAAGCCCCATTCCCGGCAAAATTTCAGTTGTAAAGGAAAATCAGATTTTTTTATGTGAATTTAGACATTCCTAAACATGAAAAATATGTAAAATAAGACTGAAATTTGATTTTTTTTGTGTTCCACACAAAAAATAAATGCGGATGTATTTTTTATGTTTGTTTTTGCGATAGGTCTGCGAAAAAATATAGTAGGCGCCAGACACATAGCCTAGCAACACTGCTAGGCTAGGCCTAGCCTAGCAGTGGTGCTATGCTATAATAGTCTCTATTACTTTCTTTTTTTTTTAACTAAAATTTATTCCAATATTCTTTTTCCATAGTTTATAAGAATTACAGTAATGCGTATGCATTTTTTCTAAAAAAATTCTTTTTTCTTGCCAGGAATAGGGCTTTAAATTTCTAATGTTTAATATTTTACCTTTGAATTAGCGCCTGTGATCATATGAATATTATTTGCGCATAATATTAAATGAAGAAGATTGTTAATGTTATTATTTTTCATTTTTATTATTTTTATTATTATTATTATTATTATTATTTGGCACATAAAATAATAGTGCAGAGAGAGTTTATTGTCAGAAATTCTGTTTATGATATAATAGTGCGTGTAGAGTAGTATTAGTCTAAATTAACCATATGAACAAAAGATTGTTTTAATAAAGAATTACAGCAATGCATATGCATTTTTTCCTAAAGAAATTCTTTTTTCTTGCCAGGAATAGGGCTTTAAATTTCTAATGTTTACTATTTTACCTTTGAATTAGCGCCTGTGCTCATATGAATATTATTTGCGCATAATATTAAATGAAGAAGATTGTTAATGTTATTATTTTTCATTTTTATTATTATTATTATTATTATTATTATTATTATTATTATTATTATTATTATTATTATTATTATTTAAATAATAGTGCAGAGAGAGTTTATTGTCAGAAATTCTGTTTATGATGTAATAGTGTGTGTAGAGTAGTATTAGTCTAAATTAACCATGTGAACAAAAGATTGTTTTAATAAACTTAAATGATTTTCACCTAGATCTTGTTATCCTGTTTATGACAATCTGTCTGTTTTCAACTATAGGAAATCAATGGAGTTGACAGAAACTCTGTTGACAACATCAGAGATGGGAAAATACGACCAGGTGAAGGCGCTCTTTGCATTTCCAATAAAACATTGTCCTGATATGCTGCTCTTGAGTCTGCTGCAATGTGGCGTAAGTTCTCTTCCGTCAGTAGACACACAGGTATATACTTCACTGTGTATACATACATCAATAACATTTTTAGTTAAGATTGCCTCTTTTACAAAAACATTAAAAATATGTTTTCACTTAAACATAGATTCTAGGCATCTAATTTGTTAAGAAGCGGGCAGTATAAAGTACTATTCCCCTATGGGATATTAATTTTTAGCCCAGCTGCGCGATGTGCAATCTCTAGGCCGTGTTGCTATGTAATTTATGAGAGGCACGAAAGGTAAAGGAGATGCGACCTCTACCATGCTAAGAGAGATTGGCCCTTTGATCGCCTAGGCCTAGGAAGTAAGCCATGGCCTACTTGGTGTGTACTATTTTCATTACTTTTTAAGGTCTCGTAGAATCAATGTATGAGGTATATAAAACAAAAATTGACTGCTCTGGATTCGTGGAATGGTGAAATCTATAGGTACGGTCTCCACATCACCTCGGGGCAATAGATTTCATCATTCTCCTCATGAGCAGTCAATATTTGTATATTATAGCCCAAGGTGTTCTAAGTCCTGAGACGAAACCCGATTAAAATCCTAGTAATTTATATACATAGATTGACCGGCTAGGATTGCATGGCTGGAAATATTTCCCAGCCTTTAACCAATCAAGTACCTGGAATCTATTTAGTTTGTATATAATATGCTCTATACTCTTTTGAAAATATTAAAACATTATTTAATCTCAATTTACTTATTAATATTTTGGTTATGTAATTCAGTGAGAATTTAATCTGTGTCAACTTAGGTGTAATCTCATCTGTTCTTTTCAAAAGTTATTCAATGTTTCAGTTGATTTCCTAATGTATTTAAAAAATGTTACATGTACATTTTTTAAAATTGATATTTAAAGTTGTTTTGGATTTTTTAAACATTTCAGCCAAAATGGACGTCACTACGACATGAACTCATCTCGATATTAATCCCAATCTTTTTGGGAAATCATCCCAACTCAAGTATAGTGCTGCAATATGCCTGGTTAGGCAATGTAAGTCATTGACTTCCATCAAAGTCACATGACTTGTTATCAAAATCATCTGGCTACTCCATCAAAGTAACATGACTGCTTCAACATTTGCATACACTGATCTCTACTATAACAGCTGGATTGTTCATCAGCCAATCATTGTACAGAAAAAAGTGAAGCCACCGACGCCATGTTGCAGGGCCTACGTGACGTCCCAGTTTGGACAAGTTTCTTTTGGCATTTGAATAAATTATTGTTAAATATAACGATTCTTGTAATAGTTCAATAATAAATATAAATTTAACGTAAGGATTTTTTTCAAATCATGTAACTACTCGCGCAACTGTTTATGCAGTTTACAAAAGCGCAAGTTTTATTATTATTAACTTATTTTATTCCATCAGAGCCAATCACCCTCTGTGCGACAAATTATCATGCATTCAATGGCCGAATGGTACATGCGAGGTGAGAGTGATCAAGCTAGGCTGTCGCGCATACTAGACGTAGCCCAGGACCTGAAGGCTTTATCCCTTCTACTTAGTGGTACACCATTTAAATTTGTGATTGATCTTGCCTGCCTAGCCTCCAGACGGGAGTACCTGAAGCTGGATAAATGGATAACCGACAAGATACGAGAACATGGGGTAAGTTTTTGACGCTACTGCTTTTATGCCAAATATGAAAAAAGAAAAATTGTTTTGATAATATAAGGATTTACTTAAGTGAAGGGATGATAAATAAACCAGAAAACAAATAATTTATATTGTTGTTCCCATGTTGGTTATAAGGTTTATCTGATCATTTAATATTTATTCTGGAAAAATGGAGGTAAAACTGAGTTTCTGCATGGAAAACTTAGTTTCTAAATCTATTTTTACAGGAATTGTTTGTGCAAGCTTGCGTTGTTTTCCTGAAACGTCGTGCACCCCAGGTGCTAGGAATATCCGAGAAGGATGTAGGTAACTACAAGCAAGGAAGTCTACCTTTGGAGACTGTCGGTACAATGCTAGCATGCCTGCAAGCTGCAGCAGGCACTGTAGCCCCTGATATTTCTGAGCAAATCATGAACATGGTAGCCAACTGCTCAAACCTGTTGAAGTCTAGGCCTCCACCTGGTGTCATGAAGCCGCAACCTAGCCCCGGTATCAACCAACAGGTAAGTCACATAAAGTATACAGTATGGTTTTTCTTTCTTAACCTCTCTTTTTATTTTTTTATTTTATTTTATTTTTAAAATACATTTCCCAATAGTATTTTCATTTTGATGCATCTGCTTTTTTGCATCGGTATGTTTTTACTTTGTGTGCTATGTTAGACTAACATCGTTATTATTATTAAAATTTATTGTATTATTTTTAAATTATATATTTTTTATATTTTTCTATTATTTATTTATTTTTATTTTGTGGTTATTCTATTGTTATGTGATATTTTTACTACTTTTTAAAAATTACTTTATTAATGTTCTCTTGTAATTTTGTATTTATTCTTTTACTTATCTTATTAACATTTCATTACATTTCTATGCTAACTTGATGTTGCTTGCTTAAACTCCTTCCTCTACCTTTGGCTTGCAGCTGTCTCCGATCAATAACTACAGATAATTGGAGCATATGAAATGTATACACTAGCAAATTCTATAATATCGTAATATCATTTGTTCTTAAGAAATACAACATAACAGAATAAAACATAACAATACAATTAATAAGTAAACATGTTAACCAACACCATTCAGCTTAATTTTCCTTTAGTTTTTTTCATAATGTTTTTTTATATGATGAAGAGCAGAATGGCAAAACTCTTGGTACAATAGCCACTATGTCTGTCAACTATATCTGCTGCCCTCCTTGTATTTCAGCTGGTGGGCATTCAGCTAGCGGGCTGAAATGCAAGAATAAAATATTTAAAAAAAGCGTACCATCTTTCAAATGAGACGTTTTAAGCCATTGCTCTTGTGTGCAATATAGCTGGTGTGCATGTTAAAGAATGCAGTAAACTTTTTGGAAAAGATTAGGGGATTGTCTCCTGGTGTACTGCTCAATCACCACCAGAACAACCCCACTGGAAATAAGTATTTCACACCGAATAATTCCAGTCCAATGATAAATTTACAATGGTTATTTCTGGCAAAAACGAATTGTTGCAGGTAACTGAAATTCAATATTAGAATTTTGTTCTGGACTCACTATCAATGTGGATAATATTACATTCTCAAATTGTTACTGCGTTTTGAGTAAATTTAGTAAATATTGTGAAGCACCTGAAGATGTTGCTAGCCAAAATAACTAAATATTTACCAAATATAAATGTCAAAGTGTCTGTTTTTCTAAAAAAATACAAAAAAAAAAAAAACACATACTGTAGTTAGAACAAATGGTAATTGACTATTTCTTTCAAAAACAAATTTATATTTAAATTATTTATTTATTACACTCAGTGCTTCAGCATTATAGTAAGTTCTTTGTAAGTCACCCATGAATATAATATAAAGATGAATGCCTGATTGTGTGACCTTACTGTTGATTTTCTCCCCCTGTTCTAGCCTGGCTTTCCTAGCTTAGGACAAGCTTTTGCGTCTCAGGTTTGTTCCATCATTGTTGTCATGAATGCCAATGAAACCTGCATGTGCTTGCATTGAAAATAGTTGCATGTAACACAAGAAACTATTAAGCTCTGTATGCACACTACAGTATAATGCTCTGTCTACACTTTCAAATTGTATGTGACAAATTTCTGTGATATGCCCATATTAACATGAAGATGTCATTTATTACACCCCAATATGGACATGTCACAGTTTTTTGTCACATAAAATGTGATAGTGTGGACAGGGTTTTATCTTTTTTGTGACAAATACCTGTAATATTTCCATATAAGTGTTGTGATGATATGTCACATCTGTATAATGTCACATGTATTTTGGTGACAAATACATGTGACATTATATAGATGTCACATGTATTTGGTGACAAATACATGTGACATTATACAGATGTCACATGTATTTGCCACCAAAAATGGATAATGTGGACAGAACTTTATAGATAGTTAATGCTATTTTTTGGTATAGCAACCACAATGCATTTAGTAGACCGTCAGCATTTTTGCATACAATAATCCTCTGTATTCATAGTAGCTCATTCAGTGGCGCTCGTATGTGTTCGCATCGTGTTAATGTAAACAATGCGTGGTCTGGTTAACGTATTGCTCAGCTCATGCAGTCTAAGGCAAGCAATATGCCCAAAGCTCTCATTACATAATTACAAGAATTTTCTGAGTCGTATTATAAAAATGCTAACACTGACAATTATTTTATTGAATTTGATTTTAATATTTTATTTCAAAATAAATTTAAATATTTAATATTAACATTGTTATTAATTTAATGATGGTGCACATTCTGAATTTTACCACATGGTTTTTTGAGCCAGATGGCCTATATCAGATGGCCCTTCTAAATGGTACTTATATCAAAATACTTAAACATCAAATGGCCCATACAAGATGACCCAAATACCAGTTGGCCCATATATAGACTTGTCAGATTAAACCCTTATGTTCGATGATGGAAGTATTTTATAGCCTTTATTCATTATGGTCATTCCAAATGGCCCTTATTTCAGATGGTCCTTATACCAGATGGCTGTTATAAAGATAGTCATTATATATTTATTGTTATATTAAAAAGTTAAATTTATAAAAATGAATATTAACATTTGTATCAAGTACTAACTGCATGTAATGTGTACCATGACATACTTATTGAAAGTTTAATGTTACATGTATAGTAAATAATAGTATAGTATCCTCGGATGTTAGTAGTTGTTGCACATCTGATATTCTTAGTGCTCATCTAATTGACTCTGTATCCTTTTATAGTGCAGCTATAAAGTCAGTGGTGTATCTAGGACTCTTGAAGGTCATATGAGACGATTTTTGACTACTTAAGCATGATTTTTTAAATTTTTTTGCTTTGAACATTTCAAAGGAAGGGAAGAGTTACACTGCGGCCACAAGCTTTTTTGGGGCCCCCTTCCTAGATACGTCACTGCTGTAGGTTTATGATAATAAAGAACATTGCCTTCCAATCTCACGGTCTCAGCCTCAAATCATAAAAACAGCAGGATTTTAAGCCTTGTTCAGACCACCAAATTTTGTTTGACAAAAACATGTGACATGCCTAAATATGGTCATGATGACATCACATCATGACCATATATAGGCATACAACAGGTTTTTGTGAAAGAAAATTTAATAATCTGGACAGAGCTTTATTCTTCCAACTAAAATTAGCTCCACCCTCCCAAGGCTCAAGGCAAACTACCAACTACAACAGTAGCGTGATAATGGACAGCTTCCCCAGTAATAATAAGATATTAAACAAGTAATCTTTAAACCTCCGATGAGGGCAGTATAATAGAGGCAGTAGAGCTAATAAAGATCTATTAATCATGCAACTATTAATCAATCAGCCGAGTGATTCTAAAGCTTCTCATGAGGGCAGTATAATAGCGGCAGTAGAGCTTAAAAATCTATTAATCAATCAACTATTAATCGGTGAGCCTCATGAGAGCAGTATGATAGAGGCAGTAGATCTGAAAAATATCTATTATCAATCAGCTGGGTGTTTCTAGAGCTCGTCATCGGAGCTAAAAATATTTTTATAGTATAAGAATATTTTTATTGAGTTACTGTATGTATTTGCTCAGTATGTTTACTATTATTTAACCCTTTTGTTATTTCAATAGTTGATAGAAAGAAAAATGCGATAAAGTTAAGACGCAAGTTGACTAAATGCTTCTAAGCACAATAGAATTAGAAAAGTAAGATAAAGATTGATGGGAGATTGATGTGTAGGCATACGATAAAATAATCCTAATGCCAGAAAAGAGATACATATTCAGTAGCATAAATAATATTTGTTAGTTTTATCAATTTCTTTTATTTATTTTAGCTCATTTTCTTCAAGGAAATTTGGTTGGATGCATATGCATTCAAATGTTGTTGATTTTATGTAATTTAAGAAAAAATTGGCAATATAAAAAAAATGCATATTTCAGATGGGGAATTAAGTAATAATTGTAAAGCTTTATGATCGTCTGGTACTGTATCATTCGATTATGTTGTATTCCCTTATGTTTTTTTTTTTATTATTTCATTATGTATTTTAAAAATCAACATATTTCTTAATATTATTACTTTCACTTTGCCTTTTTGTGTGTTTGGAACTAGTGCTTAGAGATCTTATTTATTAAGCGCTTTATAATCTACCTAATTATTATTATTAATATTATCAATAAAAAAATATGTTTTTATTTATTTTATCAAACAGATGGACCCACTTGCTGGAATGCAATCTTTGAACCTTGGTGGCAATACAACACCTACATCCAGTGTTGGTATGGGTACTTTCCCACAGCAGTCGATGATGTCATTGTTCAACGCTTCTCAGTCACCACCGAAGCCATTCCCCAACTTGCCTCCTGTGTTGGGCGGATCTGCTCTTCCGAATAATAACCAACATCGTAAGTTATATACATGTTTTTTTGCAGTGCCTCAGGATATTTACATTTTAACGAGCATTAAATTAATAAGGGCTCACTCAGATTTTGTAGTAGTCTATTTCGTGAATACTTACCTAAATAAACTGAGTAATTTCCTTTGTTCCCGAAATGGAACACCCTTTTGGATAGTGCTAGAGAGATTATCTACTGCAGGGAAGCCACATGCATTTTTGAAAGATTGTGTTTTCTTTGTAGCGATTACAATCACTATTGGTTTGTGTACTTTAGAGACTATTTTGATTATGTGCCATATAAATGTTGTTTCATTATTTACTACTTTCTCAGTCACTGTTATGAATCACTTCCTACCAGCAACAGTTGTCATATGAGTTAGGTCATTTTGTTCCTTTGGATGATAAGTAACAGAGTTTGTGATTCTATTGTTAATTGTAACATTGAAAAAGTGAGACACAAAGAATTGTTGAACATTATGTTATTGAGGTAAAAGCTAGTGCTGCTGTAAGTAATTGAACTGTGAGGAGTTTGTGACCTGCTAATATATTGCTTGTGTCCTTGGGTAAGACTGTTAGTTCTATCTTTTCTTTTGAATGGGATGTTAAGCCATTTGCCCCATAGAGTACTACAGTTTTACGTCACGATACCACGTGATACATACTACTCCGTTGCTGTTGTTGCAAAATGTGTTCAACCTGATGCCAACAAACCATTGACCCCAATTTCTAACGTAATTATTAAGATGCTGTATCTTACTTTTCTTTGTAAATTTTAATTGATGATTAAATGTGTGTTCGATAACTAATATAATGCGAGGTTTTGTGTTTTTAGTACATTTTGATGGTAAAATATTAGATTTTAAAATGCCTATTCCAGAAAGCCTATGCAGTCATTCAGATGTAATGAACGGTAACCTACCTTTGTTGACAACAGATAGCGCCACCTGGCGTCGCGACGACACGACTGTGGTACTCTATTTGTATAATAGCAAATGAGCAAAAAAATAACTATAATTCACTATTTGAAGATTGTAGTAGATTATCTGCTGGTGTAAGCACAGTATTACGTGCATCCCCTTTAGCCTAAGCCAAAATTTATTGATTTCAACTAGGACCATATACATTTACAATTTCGTATCTACTATTTTCTCCTTTGTCTTTTCAGAGATGCGGACAAATAGTAATATGATGCCAACACCTGCCAACAAGCCTGCTAGGCAAGGTAATGGAGAGTGGGCTAAATATGGAATAACCCACAATAACATCAATTTAAAATATTTGAATAGTTTATTAAAAGGGATTAATTAAGGTGTCAACTTTCAATAAATCACAAAGCAAAATAATTGAGTTTTTTGCCTAATACAGTATATGAAGATTATGAAATCAATTTAAAGCCAGGTACTGGAGGGAATACAAAGTTTATATGTTGTAAACCTTTTTTTTTTAAGACACAAAAACTGTTTGACGGTTAATGAGACACATAACCACCCTTTTTTTCCCCACCTTTTCCCACAGTTTTTCAATATTCAAAAATCTCATTTTATGTCAAACACCCATTTTGTCTTATAAAAATTAGTACAACATATCAACGTATTTCAATTGTGAAGTGGTGGTATTTTCAGGTGATATAGCCAGCATATGGCCGGAATTAAACCAGACATTCTCCCAAGAAATTGACGACGAAGCCAATAGTTACTTCCAGAAGATTTACAACCAGCCGCCGAACCCGTCAATGTCAGTAGAGGAAGTGATTGAGATGCTGAAGAACTTCAAAGACTCTGCAGTCAAGAAAGAAAGGGTAACGTTTGGTTGTTTTCATTAAGATTTTAATACTATGTATTATTTGTAGTAGGTCAAGTAGAAGAAACTGTATATTAATTAATTATGGTTTATTGTGTTGCAGGAGGTGTTCATGTGTATGTTGCGTAATCTGTTTGAGGAGTACAAGTTCTTTCCGCAGTATCCTGATCGTGAGCTTCATATCACAGCTTGTTTGTTTGGTGGAATCATAGAACAAGCTCTTGTAACGTACGTAGAATTTTGGCATCAACACATTAGTCATATTTTAACTATTGCCTTGGGAGCAGCTTAGTACAATCAGTTAAAACTGGTAGTGCGGACCTGAACCATGGAAATATTTGCATCCCTGGTTCTATTACATCACGATAAAATATAGGTCGTTGCCTCAATAAAAATTGCATTCTGTTGATTGATTGAATGATGGATTGATTGATTGATTGATTGACCATCTTTTGTTGGTTTGTCTTGGAATATGGCCCACATGCATGTTAAACAATGTAGTATGTACTTGAAAAGGTGTAAGGAAATGTCTGTCAGTGGTGTACAGTATTGTCCAATTAACCTTCAGAGAACCAGTGCAGCTGCCACAGGTCACCGGGGGACCTAGCCAGCTTTTGTTAGTTCCTACTGTAAGTTAGGACCATTAGCTTTACTTTTAAAGTTTTTAATGAATACATATTGCTCTGTAACATTTTTATTTTTTCTTAATAGATATATTGCACTTGGAATTGCTCTTCGCTATGTTTTAGAAGCACTACGTAAGCCCCATGGTAGTAAAATGTACTATTTCGGTATCGCTGCATTGGACAAGTTTAAAACGAGATTGAAAGACTATCCTCAATATTGCCAGCATCTGGCATCTATCCCTCACTTTGAACAGTACCCAGAAACACTCATTGAGGTAAGAAGTTGTTTCATGGCCTTCCATAAAAGAACATTGAGTCAAGTTGTTACAGAAACCCAAACTTGATACTGTCACCACCATTTTAATACATAATACTAATTTTTTTGCAATTTGAATAGTATTGTATTAATGCCATATCTAGATGTGGGGATAAAGCCTTTACAACATAGAAATTATGGAAATGGAATTTAGCAGATATCAATGTATGTTTAAAATTTCTGTGAGCTATAGTTTTCTTGTTGATATTCTCAATTTAAGTAATCCATAAACAGTCAAAAGCAACTTTAGTATTTAAGCCTCATTATATGCACTGTCCTCATGACAGTAGAACTGAATATTTTAAACTGGTTCTTGACTTTTTGTTATCTATTTATCTGGTATAATTTATTTGTGTACTTTTGAATATTTGTTGAATGTACTGTACCGTCAATTCTTCCTCAGTACATCCGGTACGGAGAACAACAGCGTGAACCGCCATCTAGAAGCCAGACTGGCACAACAACGCCCTCAACGCCGACAGTTACCACAGTTACATCAACTACTACAGGCAGTACAAAAACGACGACAACAATTGCTACGGCAACAACAACAACAGCTGTGACAACAAAATCCACCAAGCATGTTCCTGTAAGTATTAAAGATGCTATAAAAAGTTCCATTTTTATTAATGTTTATTAGAATTACCTAATAAAACTGACATAAATTGGCAATGAAATGGAATTTATCTATGTTTGACAAATCTATTTTGGTATTGGATTTCCTTTTTCGGGCTTGCCTCTATTATTAATAGTTTCAACAACCCCAGTGGATTTTATAATAGGAACACCCTGTGTAATATGCAGCACTTTTGCAGCAAAAATCATTTATTTTTTAATTGATCTTTAGAAACATAACTTCACTGAGTAAATGTTTTTAGTTTCTTGTCTTTATGTGGACTTTTATTGTGTTGATAATTGGAGAACCTTTTAGGTATTTCAGAAATTCAGAAAAAATTTTTTTTTTTTTCAGCCTTCAATTGCAAACACGACGAACATCAATACTCTACTCGTTGCTCGGAAGGATGAACCCAAAGAACCGCCTGAAAACATACAGGACAAGATTGCGTTCATCTTTAACAACTTATCACAGTCAAACATGACAATCAAGGTGTGCTATTTATATATTTTATTTTTTGTTTTTACTTTATTTTTAGATAGTGCCCCTCCTGGTTAAAGTTGATCATAGATGCCCTTGCACACACAGTACAACAAAATCTCTTGAGCATTCATATTTACTTTCTGCTTTGTTATACTTGTACAGGCAGAGGATATTAAAGAGAGTGTGGCAGAGTACAAGCAGTGGATTGCACAGTACATGGTCATGAAGCGGGCAAGCATCGAGTTTAACTTTCACTCCCTCTACTCATCATTTGTCGACACTCTTAAAATGCCAGATTTCTCGAACATGGTTATTAATGAAACACTTCGCAACATTGAAGTAAGTCACAGGTTTTGTTCCGATAACAATTACAGTTTAACCTTTCTAACTAAAAGTATTTTGTGAGATGTACTAATATGTATTGTGGTCTCACTAAAGGCGAATACAGTTGCTTACCACTGCACACCACTAATGCATACCACTTACCATCGCAAATAAATGCTTTTCTTCTTAGGTATTACTTGCATCTGATAAGAGTGATTCTAATTTCTCTGATCGATCGCTTCTGAAGAATCTCGGTCATTGGCTAGGCATGCTGACGCTAGCTAAGAACAAACCAATCCTACAAATAAACATCGACCTCAAGGAGCTGCTTCTGGAGGCTTATCATAATGAACGCTCTGAGCTGGAACTGTTGTACGTTGTCCCGTTTGTCGCCAAGATCATAGAATCGTGCGTGAAAAGTAAAGTGTTCAAGCCACCGAACCCGTGGACGATGGCGGTTATGGGTGTCCTGGCCGAGCTACATCAGGAGCCGGACCTTAAGCTCAACCTCAAGTTCGAAGTGGAGGTGTTATGTAAACACTTGAGCCTTGATATCAATGTAAGTTTGAGTGTGCAGGTTTGAGGCTCTTCTCCCTCATGATTTGGGTGGTAGAACGTAAGCTCAGATAAGATTGATAAATTTTTTGAGAGGGCAGGGGTTACAATGGTGCTGTGGACTGGACATTTGCACCATTTGAAAGCACCGTTGGGGTGTAGAAAGTTGTAGGAATTAGTTACTGTTGTAATAAGTGCTGTTTAGGTTAAACAGCTTTACCTGTTACCTTTAGTATAACAATTTTATTATACCTAATAGTAGTAGTTTTTTCACCACTAAAAAACTTTTGTTTTCTGTATTACAGGAAGTTCCCATTACAGGGTACCTAAAGGAAGGTGAGCGTCTTCTCAACTTCAAACCTAAACTTTCCGGTCGCCGCAAGCACAAAGACGAATCATCGACGTTGCCCCCGACAGTGTCTGACACGCCGGTTGCACCGACGCCAAGCACGGCCGTTGCACCGGCCACATCAGGGACAACCCCTACTACTTCATCGACGATTGCACAACCACAATTCAACTTTCAGGACTTGAATACATCATCATTGAGCGGGCTTTATGCACATATTACTATCAACAGCCAGGTACCATAATTTTTTATGTTATATAATATTTTATGCAATTTTATTTTCTTTTACCATGAAACCATGGTGAAGTTGATGCTATCTATTAGTACCCCTAGTTATTAGATCCATATACTGGCATACTGGTGCAAAGTTCTTGGAAAGGAAGGGTACAATTTCTTTCAATTTGGAGCTGCCTGTTTTTAAAATTTTCCCACCTAAGTTCAGCCATGGTAGGGTTGAGATGGACTACCTGTCAGGGACTTTTGACCACTCATAGAGGAATCTCTGTCGCTGCCAATCCTATACACGAACAAACTAAATTAAAGACTACAAGCTTTCATTTACATAGTAAAGTTCTTCAGCTAACTTTACCAATCCCCATTTTTTATTTCCATTTTTAACTGATAGTACAGTAATTGTATATTCTTATTGCTCATCATTTAGGCTGAAGTTTTCCAAATTGTTCCTCAACTACGTTTATGTGTGCGGTTGGCAGTGGAGCGATCGGTGCAAGAATTAGTTCAGCCTGTTGTAGAGAGGTCCATCAAGATAGCACTTACCACTTGTGAACAAATTGTGAAAAAGGTAATTATACACCTCCAGAATAATGTATATTTTAATGATAATATTTTTGACAAATACCTACAATATATTAAAAGTGATTATATCCTTTTCCTTGCAATAGCAAAGTGCTTAAGTAAAAATTTGTAGAAGTTGTAATTCAGCTAATTAATTTTATTATTATTTGTATTTAAAATTTATTTACATTTCCTGTTGTCTTTCCTAAAGGATTTTGCATTAGATCCGGAAGAGAATCGTATCCGACTGGCAGCTCATCACATGGTGCGGAACTTGACAGCTGGTATGGCAATGATAACGTGCAGGGAACCACTACTGCTTAGTATCAGTAACAACTTCAAGAGTGTCTGCTTGACAACACTTAAGGTGAGTCAGTTTGCAACTGCTAAAGAAGATCTAACATATTATTTACATTTATTCAGGCTTTACGTAGAAATTGTTAAATCACACAGTCCAAAGAGGAATTTACAAAAATATACACATTCTCCTCATACAATTTATGATAAAGTGTTTAATATTATTCACACCTATAATGAGCTACCTGTTTCTAGACGAACAATCCCATAGGCAGCTATCATGAATATTGTCCTTGTTTTTCAACTGCAGGCTGCAACCCCTCAACAGAAAGAAGCAATAGAACAGGCAGCCAGTATGGTTGCTGCTGATAATGTAGAACTGGCGTGTGCTTTTATCCAGAAGTGTGCAGTCGAGAAAGCCGTACCTGAAATGGACCGTAGATTAGCAACTGTGAGTAGTAAACTGCTGTGACAAATTTGTGCGATATGACATTAATATCATGCTGCCACATCAATTATATTATTTCATTTTTTAAACCTTATGTTTGCGTAGCATCACTTGTACTGGTACTGGTATAGGCATTTATAATACGCCTCTTCCTTGAGTTCCTTGAGGTTATAAAGCGCACTTCTTTTCCCTGGTCATTGGGTCCACATGCTTTAAGTGTTGCTGCTGGTAATTAGCGCAGGAGCAGGCAACCCCACCAGGTACCCATTTATACTCCTGGGTGGAGAAAAGCAATGCAGATAAAGTGCCTTGCTCAGGGACACAAGTGAAATGCACAGCAGGTAATTGAAACCTCGACCTCGAGGTTGGGAGACCAGACCATTCCCACTGTGCCAAACTGCTTCCACAACCGTCATCTTCATCACCACCATTATCAATTATCAGCATTGTTATCATCATTGTTTCGGCATTAAACATTTTGATTTTTATTTAATCCTTCAGGAGATTGAACTTAGAAAGCATGCAAGGAATGAAGGACGTCGCTATTGTGATCCAGTCGTCCTAACCTATCAAGCTGAAAGGATGCCAGAGCAGATTAGGCTAAAGGTTTGCACCTTTGATAATTGCATATAATCCCTAGTCACATTAATTCTATTTAATTCCACCTGATTCAGAGGATACCACTGCAGGTTCGCTTTAAGGTATGCTTCTATAACGCTAATGTAACTGTATTTGACATGCTTTCTATTTCTATAGAGAAAATAAAATATATTCCACTTTCTTAAACCTTTTTCATTTTTATTCGTTGACTTAAAGGTTGGAGGCGTAACACCCACGCAGATTGCAGTATATGAGGAGTTTGCTCGTGTTATCCCAGGGTTCCTGCCAACAACAGAATCAGCACAGCCAGTCCAGGTAACCAATAAGGTATAGGCGGTTGGTTACTTTGGCTTTCCACTGCACAGCACAGAGATATCACTCCAAGATCATTTGGCTTTCTTTGTTGTCTGGTTGTTATTATACAATCTTATTTCCCTTCATTTCATTCATATATTCTTGTTATTCTATGTTCATAAACATTAAAAATAATATTTTTTCTCAACTTTCAAATCAAATTTTATTAGAATCAATTTACTTTGCTGCTATGTTTATCATTAAAAAAATATTTATGCCAAAAAATAATTGAAAAAAAAATCATTAAGTATTTGTTCCGTATAATTCATAGATGGTAAATAAAATTTGTGCAGTGAAGGGCACCGCCTCCTATGGGTGACAATTTTATTACAGATATTATGCAATATATCTATCAATTATTTAGTTTTCTTTGATTTAAGACTGTTCTATGAAAATTCAGTAAATTTAAAGGATATATGCAAAGAATTTAAAAACAGTATTACCATACATCTGTTTACTGTGGCATTGATATATTTCTCAGTGAAATTTACTATGTAGGAAATTTGTATTTGTATTAAATTTTAGTTTAATTGTTTTTGCTAAACATTTCACATTTAATTTTTTTCAATCTTTTGCCTGTCTAGTTTATTTATACTCACCTCTTTGATTCCAAACTCCTCCTCAATAAACATCATGCATAATTTAAAAAAATGTTTTTCCCCAAAAACTTTAAAACTCAAAATATTTGCATTATGCTTACATTAGCAGTCTTATGCCCTGGATGAGATCACACAAATCTACGATAAATGTGCAACAGAGATCGAGCAGCACATCCAACACGTGAGTATGATCGCACCAAACAACCAACACTTACACGTCATGGAATTGCTGTTGGAGGCCGTTGTCCTGGCACGCAACTCACGCGAGATCGTCACGGCTCTATCTCTTCTTCAAAAGGTATGTAGGTTTTGTAGGCCAAGACAAAATTTTATACAAACTAGATGAAATAATGTGTAGTAATTATGGCAGGAATATATGTAAATTTAATTAATGTATGAATTTACAAAGCAAGCTAGCTATTCAAATATAAATACAGTACGGTCGAATATGTTCACTCTATATAAAGTAGATAAGATTATTAATGGCAAGTCGAGTGGCAGAGCGGTAAGGCAGGTCCGCTGCTAGCTACAACCTATTAATTGGTGCTTGTTCCAGCCCCTCCTCACCCATGGTTCGGTTGGTAGAACCAAGTCTTCTCGGATAAGAACTTAAAATGGAGGTCCAGTGTATACATCTGGCTCGTGTGAACTTTAAAGAACTTATTTGCATCTTTCGGAAGAGTAGGGGGTTACCCCAATGGTTGATTTCAGCCCCTGTCGTTGTGGAATAATGTGAACATGTAGCTACCACGAAGCGCTTCTTTACCGCTACTGGGTAGTCACGGACCACGTCCATACGCAGTTCAGCACAATGACGCTGCAAGTTTGGGTTATTCTCCTAACTTTACCTTTAATACATATAATAGTAATCTCAATTGTGTTTTTTTCTAGGCTGTAGAGGGCTTAATGGAAGGCTACATTCCACTAAGTCTAGACCCTGAAATCGCCATGAGGTACCAGAATACTCACCTGTTAGTCCTGAAAGCCCTCCAAGATCAGAGGGCCTATGGACCACAATGGACCAATAAACAAGTCACAAGGTAGGCTGCAGGGTTTAAAGATGTTTAATCATTGGATGAATGCACTTTTTACTTTCCTACTCCCAAAATCTGGAACTCTCTTCTCAAGTACTTAATATATAATATGATCATAAATTATTTCAAGTAAAACATATATTTTTATTAAGTTCATCTTCATTGTGCTTTTAGCTTAAATGTAAGACATATAATTGTGAAAATATATTACCATCATACAATCATATTATTATCCAAGTACGGTTGGACTTGCCAAAGTCGAATCCAAAATGGCATTGAAAAATTGTTTGACTTTGATAAAATTTGACTTAGATTGTTAAATAATGGAAAACCAACAATTTGGTGTGTAAAATATGGTCGACTTAGAAATTATTTGAGTTAGGAAAAGTTGACTTAGGAAAGTTTAACTGTATATTAAAATATACTTCTTTATATTCTTGTTGAAATGTGCTTTTGAAAATTCTGTACTGTTGATGAGATATCAAATGAATTAATTCAGTTTTAATTTGTTAGTAGATTAGCGAGATTCATTTTTTTTACTTAGATATCATCATTAATGTTTTGGTTATTGCAGGATGGTCTGTGAGCATAGAGGAGAACAAAAGTATAACCTTGATGCAATTGAGGCACTGCTTCGAGCACACCTCATCACTCTGCAAGCATATGATTTGCATATTGCACAGGTTAGAATATTGTTTTTGTTTATGTACAAAGGTCATATGATTTGTATATTGCACAGGTTAGAATATTGTTTTTGTTTATGTACAAAGGTCATATGATTTGCATATTGCACGGGTTAGAATATTGTTTTTGTTTATGTACAAAGGTCATATGATTTGCATATTGCACAGGTTAGAATATTGTTTTTGTTTATGTACAAAGGTCCTTTTGACACTTTATTCCAGAAATTCGTAAAATCTCAAGTGCTATATAATTCTATTATTATTATTAATATGCTGAACAGGGTTGTAACTGTAGAAAAAAGGTGTGAGTAGGTGATAACATTAATAAACTCTAAATAATAAAAGTGGATTTTAAGGATAGAAGTATACATATTAAAAAGAACTATTTCTTTGTTAATTTCTCTCAGTCTATGGACAATGGAATGAACCCAACATCAGTAACGTATGCAATGAACATCGCTAAACGATTTCTGATTGACGATAAACAGAGCAACATCTTGAACGAAGCTGATTTGTACAATACATTGCAAGTGCTTGCACGCATCGCTGCACACTCCTCAAACCCACCTGACATGTAAGTTTCCTTCCTAGTGTGTCCAGGATTTTAGTAATCTGAAACTTGAGGGTGTTACGTGAACAGCAAGCCTTCATTTCTTAAAGCTAGGCTCCGGAGGAAAATTTTTTTGGGGCGTAACCACCCTTTTACTCCAGTACTAAAAAATCTGTATCTCATCAACCTCATTAAATATGCTTTTTGTGTCTTTGAAAAATCAGTTCTACAACATTTTACATTTTATAGAAGCGTGAGGGGGCTTATAGGATGAGAAACCTTCCAGAAGACAGGCCATTGGTCCGTCGTTATCATGTTGGTTATAAGGTTTATCTGAAAAAGCTGTAAAACCCTTGAAATTTTTAGCACTGCATGTAACAGTGATTTATATACTGTTATTTTGTTGATCTATGGCAGTACATTCTATGACAAATATGAAGATAAAACAAAAGAATCATGAAATTGAAAACATAATTTAAGACATTGTCCAGAACAGAAAAGTAACCACTGTCTCGATTAGATTCTAAATACTTTTTGAGGGTGGTAGATCAATAAGTTAGGGGTCTGATATTACCAAGTATCCACTTATCCTTATCTTTTTTTCTTAGGCCTGGACCATTTGCTGGGAGGTTAGCACACCTCATTGAGCTGGTACGTCAAAACCATGACCCTGCCTTCCTTGACAAAGCACCTGGAGGACCAACATCTATGATGCACTCTGGTATCTCGCAAGCACGGGAGTTTGATGATCCACCAGGCCTTCAAGACAAGACGGAATATCTACTCCGCGAGTGGGTTAACATGTACCATTCACCTGCTGGTGGACGAGATAGCACCAAGGCATTCTCGGCATTTGTTAACCAGGTAGAATATATTTGTGATTACTATTTTTGTAATTTGAATTTAAAATATTAATTTACTATCAATTTGACACAAAGATGAAATTAATGTACAATGGATTAGATGACCAGGTGAGTGCTGGGAGTAAGACATTGGCGAAGTCCAACACTATTGGTGGTCTACTCTAAACTCCTGAAGTTCTGAAGGTTTGCATAACAAGTAAAAGTTTAAAAATATTTAAATTTTTGGTACAACGTATGTTGGTTCACCGATGCATATTAATAATTTTCAAAGACAACATGCCAGATATACCTCTGTAAAACATAGAATTCAATTGTATGATCATTTTTTTTATCTGTGATGCAACACAAGCCTCGATTACAATCTGTTTTTGGATCAGCAGCACAGCTAGCTATTTCTATATTTAAAATATGTGACTACTCACATGAAATCATTTAAAAAAACCAAAACATATTTTTTTTGGCCATATCAGATGCATCAACAGGGTATCCTAAAGACAGACGACCTCATAACCCGCTTCTTCCGAATCTGTACTGAACTGTGCGTGAAGCTGTGCTATCACGCGCTGTCAGAGCAGGCGCACACAGCCACGTTAACACGTTCCAAGTGTTTCCACACATTGGATGCTTTTGTTAGACTGATCGCACTGCTGGTGAAGCATTCCGGCGATGCGGCTAATAGTGTGACAAAAATCAACTTATTGAACAAAGTACGTATTATTTGTGAAGAAATTGATTGGATCTTTTTCTTAAAATTATAAAACTTTATTATATAACATTAAAAGACATGATTTTTATTTGTATTAAGCCAAGAATTGTTAATTTACCTCCTTTTCATCTGATAGAAATGTTAAGTTGAATGGACTAATCTCTGTATACATACCCATGTACTGTCTAAACAACACAAATATCCTTAAAATATTATTTCTATAAAGATATTGTTAATACCGATTATTGTTAAGGTTTTATTATTAATAGCATTGTTTTTAATATTATTGGTATTCTTGTTATTTATAGTAAAAACATTTTCATTATTGTTGCAATATTAACATCATTTCCATTGTCATTTTTGTTTTATTATTATTGTTTAAATTTTTAACATGGCGAGGTAATAATATATATTTTAATGCTTGTGTGGATGCATTATCAACCAACAACAGTTCTTTTCAGAACTATCTATGTGGTGTATCGCAAGCATTGATATATTTTATTATTATTATGATTATTATTATTAATATTACTGATAATATTATATTTGCTAGGTACTGGGTATTGTTGCCGGTGTACTGCTTCATGACCATGAGAAACGTGGCAGTGACTTCCAGCAGTTACCATACCATCGTATCTTCATCATGCTACTCCTGGAACTTAACGCCCCTGAGCACGTACTCGAGACAATCAACTTCCAAGTAATGACAGCATTCTGGTGAGTTGACAGAATCTGAACGCTGCTACTCTTTTCCTTCATTTTTATCGAAATGAGCATACAGTGTGTATTATATTTTTAACAGTATACAATATTTTATTTATTTTTTTATTTTATTCAACTTAACTGGATAAAATAAAAAAAAAAACACTAGAAAGGCAAGTACAAAACAGGTGAACAAGCACCTCTACAAAGCTGTCTTACCACAAAATAGATGATCTTAAAAATTCTTCAAGCATAAAACCTATGCTGCATCCGGATCCGAACCTCAATTCAGACTGCGTTTTTGATGCACTGATTGCCAGCGTCGCTATTGTTACAGATTTGATTTTCTGGTTGGTTTGGTAGGCTTTCTGATCTAAAAATTTGTATTTGGTATGAAACTAACTTATATTTGTACTTTGTGAGAATGTGTAATATAGTGGGTATAATTGTTATGAACTTCAAATATTCTGTTTTCTTGTTATATAGCAATGCATTCCATGTGCTGCGTCCATCTAAGGCACCTGGTTTTGTATATTCCTGGTTGGAGTTGATTTCCCATAGGATCTTCATTGCTAGAATGTTAGCAACTATGCCACAGCAGAAGGTAATGTATTTTTATATCATTTTTATCAATGAAAAAAAAATCATAATTTCCTCATTATCTTGAGTACTTGTTAGTTAATTGCATTGCAGTAGATGCTATTAAGTCCTAGTTGTTGCAAGATCAGCTATTTATTGTATTCACTGTATTGTTATCTTTTTGTTCTTACTGTGTTAATATACAAACAGTTTAAGCCTTGTGCTATTGTTTTGTATATTTCATATTATAATGAATAAATAAAAATATAATATTGATTTATTCATTAGTTAATTGATTGATCAATTTTTTTGATTGATTGATGATTGTTGTTATTTTCTCTATATACAGCAAGGATGGCCAATGTATGCTCAGTTGTTGATTGATATCTTCAAGTTCGTTACTCCATTCCTCCGCAATGCTGATCTTTCAAAGCATGTATCTCTCTTGTATAAGGTGAGGTTTTTTTTTTTCATTTCATTTCATTTTTTTAGGCACGAGCGCCAAGGATATGCCAATAAGTGAACTTAATCACTGTCCTACGTGGCATATCCAATTAACAACAGGGAACTTAATGGACCAGTACACCAGGGTAACTCTTCTCGAAGAATGTACTGGGTTCTTTAAAGTGCACACAAGCCAAATGCGTACACTGGGCCTACGGTTTAAAGTCCTTATCCGAGAAGACTTGTTCCACTACCGGAACCATTGGCGAGTAAGCCGTCGAACCAGCACCCATATTAGAGCTGAAGGTTACGGTGCCTCTCGGCCAATCAACTTGCCTATTATACATACATTTTTTATGAATTTACAAGACATTTTATCCATTGACTCATTCCTAAATATGGTAATGTTGTTTTAACACAGTGCATTGTTGAAGGAAAATGCAATTCATTCGAAATGGGTTTCACCAATCTTCCTATATACATACGCTACAAGACTAATGTGTTCTTATATTCTTCCACATAATGTAACACACAGCAATACCACAGTATATTTAGGAATCTGCCTTCCTTGTTTGCTTTATCTTATGCATAGCCTGTGTGAATATTATGTGTATTATGAATATTATTTACCAGTGTACATCTCCCTAAAATTTCCTTGTCTCGAAAAATGCATTTTTGTAAATGGTGACATGTTAAAGAGTAAACAAGCATAGCACAGCTTTTCAAAAAAATTAATAAAATCTAGTTGATTGATTTGTATTATAATATTATATTTTAATTATCATGCAGGGAACTCTTCGACTGTTGTTAGTTTTGCTGCATGACTTCCCAGAATTCCTGTGTGACTATCACTATGGTTTCTGCGACGTCATCCCGCCGAACTGTATTCAAATGCGCAACCTGATCCTGAGTGCGTTCCCACGTAACATGCGTCTACCGGACCCATTCACGCCTAACCTCAAGGTTGACATGTTGTCGGATATCACGCAACCTCCTCGAATCCTTACAAACTTCGCTGCAATGATTCAGCCCGTGACATTTAAGAAGGTAAAAATGAAATATGTTTGTAGTTCAAAAGTTGTTTTAAATGAGCATAACCAAAAAACATTTAGAAATAATAAATAGTGAGTATAATAAAAATTTTATTTTTTATAGGAGCTAGATTCTTATATTAAGACGAGAAGCCCTGTCACTTTCCTGTCCGAGCTGCGAGGTCATCTGCAAGTATCACATGAGCCAGGTCAGAGGTACAACGTACCCCTTATGAATGCACTAGTCCTATATGTAGGGTCACAGGCAATAGCGTACATCCACAGCAAAGGAAGCACGCCCTCTATGAACACTATAACTCATTCGTCGCATATGGATATCTTCCAGAATTTAGCAGTCGACTTAGATACTGAAGGTAGGTGTTCGTATATATTTTACAAATCTGTTGGTTTTTTTTATTCTGCAAAAGTCTCTTTAAAAAATGCTGTGTTGATTTGATCATCATCAGCTTGCTCTTGAATTTAAAGGAATTATTGGGATTCACTTTTTTTTTAAACAAATCATAATATTTAGTGGACAATTTTCAGAATATTCAGTACAATTGTTGAATAAATAATAATTATTGAGCAATAAATTTATTATATTTATATTATTGTAACTTGCATTGTACTTTAACTTCAAGAATATATTGTATGATTGCATTTTTTAGGTCGGTACCTATTTTTAAATGCGGTGGCAAACCAGCTTCGCTATCCAAATAGTCACACACATTACTTCAGTTGTACGTTACTCTACCTGTTCGCAGAAGCCAACTCAGAAGCCATACAAGAACAAATCACCAGGTAAGTATTATATTAAGGCTGTATATATGTGTATCTCCAATTTCAAACAATTTTGGCATTGTTGTTGTTGTCGTCACTTTTGATTAAAACAATAAAAAAATGTACAAAAGAGAGGACAAACAATTCCAGGTCAACGTCTAGATCACAGATCAGACAGGGGAAAAAAAAAATATCGGTTACAGAAAAATCCATTAATCCAATTAATGTAGTTAAATTAATACCAATAGTGAAGTTGGAATACATTTGGCCGTCTGCTCAAGCATTGCATAGCATTCATGGGCCAAAGGTCATATGAATAAAGTGCCATGTACTCCATGTGAAAGTCTGGCAAATTATACTCTGTGTGGTAGACATGAACATCATATGCCTCGATAAGCTTTCTTCATCATACAATTTAAAATTCATGAAGAAAACGATGGAAAGTACTTTAAAATAATGCCCTGCAAATGCAAGGCATAGTATTGTATGTCCAGGGGCTAGTTATTGAATTTAATTTCTGGTAGACATAAACATCATATGCCTTGATTAGCTATATTCATAATATTTAAATTTCATGAAAATCATTTTCGTTCGTTTTGTAGGGTGCTGTTAGAACGTCTGATAGTGAATCGACCCCACCCCTGGGGATTACTTATCACATTTATTGAATTAATTCGCAATCCAAGCTTCAAGTTCTGGGGTCACGACTTTGTGCACTGTGCACCAGAGATTGAAAAGTAAGTGTTTTGCATATTTTGTGTTTTTAATTTTGAAGTCCCTTTAATTGTGTACTGACGTCAACCATTGGGTTGTTATTTCCAGCGTTTGCGTTGACTGTTGGATATATACACATTGTAAACAATCTTTGTTCCCACTGGGGTATTTCTTGTCATGCACTAAAGTTCATTCCAAATCACTTATTCCTGGTTGAAGAAACACAAAATATTGCTTTATCCAAGAACACAAGTGGAAGGATTAGCATAGGATTCAAACCCTAAACTCTATCCACTCTATCAAATGCTATTTGACAAATACATGAGCATATATAGGTATGATATGTCATCATCATGTCTCTTATACACATCCCCCTAAGAGCCGAATAAAGGTAGTATATATATATATATATATATATATATATATATATGCAAATAAAAAACCAAAAATTTGACTCATAAAATAATAAAAATGTGGAAAAATCAGAGATTCAGAGCCAAAACATCTCCCATTTTGTGGTACATGGTATGCCGTAAATGCTTGAATAAGCGCCGCACCAAACCTGATTTTTTAGCTAAGCTCTGCTCTCGAATAAGTGCAGGGGCCCTTAATCAAAAGTATATTATTACGCTCTGTGTAATGAAACACTTTGAGAAACAGGGTTTTAAATACAATGTATACAGTGTTAAAATAAATAAATAACACATTGAAGACACAAGCATTTTTCTTTATAAATGTATATTTACGATGATGTAGGACCAATGATAGGCTTACTGAAGTACAGGAATATGTGAAATAGGTAACATGGGAACGGCCATGGAAAGCGGCACGCCACTCTCGCAATAGTGCCGCTCTCGCAATAGTGCCGCTCTCGAATAAGCGCCACACTGAATCCTAAAAATTTTTTATTAGTGCTGCAGCGCTTATTCAAGCATTTACGGTAATTTCATAATTTTGAGGAAGATAAAATTTTGGAATATATTGGAAAAATTTTTGTTGAATTTTGTATTTTGATTTCTGGTATTTTGTATTGGACATTTGAAAATCGTGTGTTTACAACAATGATATACAATTTTTTTCTTTCTTCTATTCGTAGGTTGTTTGATACTGTAGCACGTAGCTGCATGCAACAGAAGCAAGCAAGTACAACAAATCAGGCCAACTCACCTTCATAGATAATGCTTAATAGGCTGTGCCAACAAGCAATTTATGATGTAATGAACGTGCTCAAGAATCGATGCAGTAAAAGTAAATAATTTTATAACCGCATGACTTACAGGTCTGAAAACTATTTTGTAAAGTGTCTTGTGAGTGTAGAATGATTTTCATTAAATAAAAAATTGTTGCATCTGAATTTTAAAAGGTGGCAGGATTATAAACCAAGCCACCACCAAAGAATTATTTCTCTAATTATATAAAGAAAAACATTTAAAAAATTAAGATATGCTTATAATATGGTTTAGATAGCATGAAATGTAACTTTGTAACCTAACTATTTTATTATATTGTAACTTATAACAAAGTCTACCTACAAGCTATACATTTGGATCAAAAACTTTTTTTTTTACATGTTTTCAGAAATTACCTGGAATGGTGCCATAATATACGGTACTAACTGAGCCTTAGTAGAGAATACAGATATACAGTTCATTTCCATAATAAAAATTGACTAAACAACTACTATATCATGTTACTTAAAAGTTTTTTTTATGTTTCTTTGGTTAGTTTTCAATCTTGCTGAGAAAATGGTATTTCTTTAGTTTAAAGTCACAATTTTGTATTGAAATTTTAAAGAACCAAAGAAAATAAAATTGCATTTTCTTTGGTGTTTGACAGTTACCACTATTGGAGGTAATGTGTCAGACAGGTTGTGTATAAATACTTTGGTTATAAATTGCATTGTACAAGAAAGATGTAGATTAGTGGATAATAAAAAAAACCTTTTCTGTGTTATTGAATGCTAATCTGTTGTGCTATATTAATGAGTGCTACTGGCTTCTTTCACATTGTAATTCATACCAAGCACAGTTGAACATGTTTTTTTTTTGGCCCTTAATAAGCTGTTTTAAGATAGGAATTGTGGATGCAGACTGGCCTGTCCCACAGGGGTTGATCCCCCTCTTCCACTGAACCTGGTGTAGGTAAGTCAGCTTCTGTTCAGTTCCTACACAAAAATGTTAGTTCAAAATGTGAATCACAGTAATAGACAAATCAGAATCAGTGATGATGGCAATCTGAGATACTGAATAGACCGACTAATTGCCAGTGTGTTCTTAAGAAAACCCCTACAACAGAAATAGAACAGTCGAACCATACCAGGACCACACCGTGACAACGCCTAAACGACTCCCTTCAGCTTTTTTTTTTTGTCGTTTATCCAGGTAAGCATTCACCAAATATATTTTTAAAATAAGGTAGCAGTCATGCAGTATTTGTTGGTTAAGTGTATTTTACACTTGTTTCGAGTCTTGTTAAGTTTATTTAGACCTACAGTGTTCGAAGTTCCTGTCCTTTCTATCACTGAGCGAAGCGGGGTAGGAACAAATCTAGGGCTAGGCCTATGCAATGCTACCAATGGGCAATCGGGAAAACATAACCCCGTGGCTTACACCAAAGGAACAAGGCTTTACTTTGCTCACTGGTGGCGCTCTTTTGGCTGCCTAGGCAGAGCCGTAGATAGAGAGAGTTTGGCCAACTCGGTTTCAATCACGTGACTTACACCGGCCATGTTGTCACCAAATCAAAACAACGCGATAGGGTAGAAGTTAGCAGTTATTATAGATGATTAATGCTATATAATGTAAAATACCGTTATGTTGGGTTTGGGGTTGCTGCAATCGATCCAATAAAGAAACAAAAATGTATTAATTTCCTTAAATTCCAAAAAGGAGGAGGATTTGGGATTTTATTTTAACTTTGCATGGCGATCGAAAAATCTCGCTATGGGCCACGTACGTAGTAAATTATAAGGCATGTACCGCCCGCCCGCCCCACTTCGCGGTAATAATTATATCCACCTACTACTACTAGGCCTAGACAAAGCCTAAATGTCGGTACTTCTTCGGCCGAACACCTTAAGGTAGTACTTAAATCAGCTTAATTACGATGATAATATGAAAAAAAAAGGAAGAATTTTCAAGCAGCAATGATTTATAAAAAGATGCAATGTTGGATTTTGCTGTTAAGGCCCCATAAAAAAAATTATTAGTTTATCATCCTATCAAGACCAAAAAACTGATGAGGGAGGGAGGTTTTTTTGTTTTTTGTTT